GGAGGCATAAGTAATGTGGTGTAATAATAATAATAATAATTAACGGTTTATTGAAGAGCTAGCCAGAAGGCTGAAAATATACAGTTACATATTTGGGGAATGGGTTACGAATTACAAATAACAAGGGACATAAGTGACAAATAAATATATAACTGATGGGGATCAGCTCAAACTACAGTTCATTTCAACATAGTGACAGTGTAGGGAGGCAGTGTTTATTGGGAGGAATACACTGATTTATTACATGTTATTGTTAATTTTACGGTTGGGACTTGTTCTTATAGCGACTGAGTTCGTGCAAGTATGGGCTGGATGCGGTTGTGGTGTCGAACAGCAATTCTCGGACAGGGATCTCAGGTAGTAGGGGCCGTGTCGGGGATGGTGTAGAAGCTTACCAAATTTGCAGATGAGGCCGTGGTGATGGTCAGTGAGAGTCGAAAGGGTCAGTGTGTTGAGCGCTTCTGATATGTGGTGTAGGAAGGGAGAGAATAATCTTGCATGCCCCTTTTTGCACTTTTTCTAGGTGTTTACGTTGTGTGGCATTTAGAGAGGAAGACCAGGTGGGGAGGCATAGGTGAGCTTGGGAAGTATGAATGTTGTGTATACACTGAGGAGCTCGTGTGGGAACGAGGGACTTGAGTCGGCGGAGGAGGTGGAGACGGAAACTGGAGGATTGACAACTTCACCGACGTGTGGTTTCCAATTTAGTTTGTTGTCTATGGTGACGCCGAGGAGCTTCGAATCTACAACCTGGAGTGTGTTCGGACCTAGGGTAATGGAGGGTGTGGACAATGTCGGAGAGAGGTTGATGCATAACCATGGTCTTGGTATGGTTGATGGTGACATGGTTGTTGGTGGCCCAGTTTTGGAGACTGTTCAATAAATCCTGAAGGGCGGTATAGTTGGGAGCAGAATTGTTGACGCTGATCCCAATGGTGGAGTCGTCGACATATTTCCAGCGAGCAGGGGTTTCTCTAGGGCATCATTGATGAGCATAAGGAAGCAGAGTGGGTCCCATCTTGGTGCCTTGGGGGACGCCACAGGTGAGTGACTGAAAGGTGGAGACAGCCCTCGGAAGCGCATAGCTTGGCGTCGGTCACTGAGGAAGTCTGTGTCATGGTATGAGATTTCTCCGAAGCCCGAGGTCAATAGCTTTGTTTATGATTATATTGTGGTCGACTAGGTCGAACGCTTTAGTGAAATCAACAGGCGACAGCTACAGACGTTTTTCGTTTCTCGAGATGGCGGTATATGTAATCGAGAAAGCTGACAAGACAGTGAGTGGTGGAGGAGAGTTTTCATGTTGCCAAATTGCTGAGGGTCTACGACTCCTGCAATATCAGCATAAGCCCTGTCAAACACAAACTTTCACAGATTAGGGCTGGGTATTGGGGTGATTGCAATAGGTCGTAGCTGGTTTATTGATTGGGGCTGGTTGACTTGGGCACTGGTGATACATAAGAGGTCTTCCAGTTAGCTGGGCATCTGGCTTGACTGAGAGAAGCATTGATGATGGAGCAGAGGGTTTAGCAAGCTCCGGGGAGAACTCTTGAACAGTTTCATTGGTAAGTCAATGGGGGTGGTAGAGCGTTTTAATTTTAGTTTGTCCAGGCGTTTTGCTACGTCAAATTCTTCTACTAAGTCAGTGGGAAGGGGGGCTGGTAGGTAAGCAGGGAGAGTGTTGTGTCAAGCCGCGGGAGCGTCTGGCATATAGTGCAGCGAAATGGTTATTTGTTTGCTCAGCTGCGTCAACATTAGTGAGATGGCTGAGGAAGGAGGGATGTGTCATATTGTTTAGTCCACAGAGTTCTTAAGCTTACCATACCATTGACTGATGTTGGTCTGCTTCAGGTGTTGTAATTTGCTGGGTAGTGGGACTTCTTTGGAGTGCGTATTTCTGCGGATGACTCTGTTGTGAAGTGACCTGTAGTGGATGGTCATTGAGATGAAAGGCTCTGTCTCTCTGTTGCATAAGTCTTTTGATCCGAGGTGTGATCCAGGCAAGTCAGTGTGTGTGTGTGTGTGTGTGTGTGTGTGTGTGTGTGTGTGTGTGTGTGTGTGGGGGCCAGTATTGCCATATCCCACTTGCAGTTATTACTAGAGCAGAGAAATACCTTAACTCCATAATAAACCGCCTTATCATAGAAAACTCAGAGGCTGAAATAATCTACAGTTTACTCCTAAGCCACCAAGGTAACGTTACCTCATTATGCTACATCAAACATCAAATAACTCTGCATACTGAGCTGAGGAGGGAGGCAGGTTAGTAGGTTAGGTTAGGTTAGGTTAGGTCAGGTCTGGGGTGGTTGTACGTCTTGTGAAGCTCAGAATAAGTACAATCGCCTGGAGGATGCTTTTAACTCAGGACTGATAATAGTTGTATCCAGGAACTCTGTCGCGTGTGTGTGTGTGTGCAGGTGTGTGTGTGCAGGTGTGTGTGTGTGTATGCGTGGGTGTGGTGTGGTGGTAATGAGCCCACCCCCCCTCATTTGTTAACATA